CAGCTTCACTGTTTATGTTATGCTAACATAGCTGTGTAGCTAGCAATCGTGTAGCACATCATTATATAGCAGCTAGCCCAACTTCAGTAACCCTACAAACGTCACTGCTGTTTAGTTTCCTGTCTTCATTTATGTTGGAAGTGATAGCAGAGCTGTGCGTTTTCATTTTTTCATAAATCTCTCAGTCAGAACATGCTATATCATGCTTAGCTAACTAGCGAAACTAGCGAGCTAACTTCCGCTAGCTTCCTGCTAACTTCTAACTCCGTTAAGTGTAATAAATTCTGTTTTCATGGATGCCTGGATGTTAAACTTCATAGTTACACCTGGTAAAGCAGCAACACTGATCATTTTATTACAGATGAAAGAATTTAGACAGTTTTTAACTCTCAGTGATGCTGCAGTGTTCGTTTGACTTTAGGACCCAGATTACTCCCAGATTTACGAGCACCATAGTCCAACAAATACGGCAATAACGACGCCCGCTTGCATGTTCTACAAAAAAAGTGCTTTGTTGTGTATCTGACGGACAAACACCAAACCAGTTCCACATCACTGAAGTTGCATTTTTACAAACCAGTTCTGGTTCATCTGTTTCACTCAACGATCCGCTTTCTCCCTTCTCATTCTCCTTTCGCACTGCGCATGCGCGTTTTACCCATATTCTATCGCGATATTTCATTTTCTTATCATTGCCCAACATTGTAGCGGTATTACCGTGAACGGTATAATGTGGCCGAGCCGTAGCCACGAGTGCAGAGAAAAAAGCATTCCCACGTTCATCTAAAGTGTGTAACAAAATCAGAACGCCATAAACTCTGATTTGAGTCCCAGCAGGACAGAAACATGTTTAAACACATGTTAACAGAAACAGGAGCTCTCTTTGACTTTGATGGTGCGACGGGTCAATGTTGGGATGCGTCTGACCTTAGATCAGTTTGACCTCGCCCCACTTACACGAGCAGCTCAGACATTTGATCTGTTTTCTGAGTTTGTGTTTCGAATAATAGGCTCAGGCGTACTTACTGTTCCTGTTGGTCTTCAGCTTGGACAGCAGCTTCTGGGTGGACAGCAGGTCTCCACTCTTCACCGCCTGCAGGAGGTCCTGCTCCTTCCCCATGCTCCCTCCTCCTCCTTAAAATCCAACCAGCTTTACAGTAAATCCCGCTGCCTCCTCAGGGCCTCATGCTGAGCACCGGAGACGTGCACCTGCCTCAGGTGAGACCTCCACTTCCTCCCTGTGACGCTCAGCTGACAGCCAGGAAGCAAAGTGAAGATAAAAACTCCTCTGTGAGGTTTCCTCTGAGCACCAGGAGAGATGAAAGGAGAGAAAGATCTCTGCAGCTTAGTTTCCCGCTCTCTTTATTTCAGGGAGTTGTTTTCTCCAGGGTCGGCGGGGGGGCGGGGGGCTGTGTGGAAGCCTGAAACGAGAAAAACAGATCAGTTCGTGCCTCAGAGGCGTCGCACAGGAAGCAGTGTGAAAAGTCTGACAGCTGCACGACCGATCGATCTGAGCTCAGGCTACAGCGCCGCAGCGCTCAGGCCAAACGCAGCACAGGTGCGCTCACGAGGACGCCAGCATCAGGAGCGTGATGCTGGGAAGCCCTGATGACATCACCAGACACTGCAGCACCACTAACATGTGAACACACCTGTCACTTTTACTGTGACCACACGTTACACTGTTTATTAAGTGCACAAGGAAAACTTTGTCCCCGCTGTCCTCGATGTCCCCGCATTGACTGGTCAGACTGAGGGACAGTGCAGTCCATCGTTAATGAGCTCGGACCCGGGACGATGCTCGGGGTTCCGGCTGTTTCACTGGTTTTTGTTGGTGGGCGGTCCCTGCTGTGCTCCTGAGCCTGTGCAGTGATTTGCTTTAACGCTGCTGCGGCCTCGGGGCACGAACGCCATCAACACTACGCTGGCTGCGTGCGCACGTTGCTCCTCACGTCATAAAGTGCACATGATGGAATCACTCGCACTTTTGCAAAGAAACAGACCTCGGCCACTCCTGCAAACATCTGTTGTGAAACCAGAGCACGAGGACAACCTGCTTCTTCTTCTTTGCCACATCCAATCAGCTCCTCGTATCGCAGCATCCTCTCCTCTGAGGTCCTCCTGCCTCCTCTGCACACGCTCAGACCGTCTCAGCCTCCCTCACTCTGAGCTGCCCCTCTGATGACCTCATGTATGACCCTGTCCCTGCTGTCCAACATCTTCAGCTCGGCCTCCTCCGTCTCCAAACCGTCATTAAACCTTCTTTCCCCTCTTGCTCCTCCCCTCCTGTCCCTCCTCTCCACCTGCCTGCCTCCGATGGTTGACCCCTGGTGTTTGACCTCTGCTCCCTCCTCGTTCACCTTTCACCTGTCTCTCCCTCTCATTCGCACACATGTATTCTGTCATATGTCAGAAATAAACGTTTCCTGAATCGTTTGCATCTGCAGCGCCGTGTCGTACAGCGACCTGTCCAGGTAACTGCGAGCTCGGGCTGAGTGAGAGTTTAACCTGCTGCCACATGAGAGTTCGGTTTAATTACAGCTCAGCAAACCCACACACACACACACACACTCGCCCTGCCTCTGCTGTGTAAACACACCAAACTCATTTTTCACAAAGTCACCTGACTGCGAGTGTGTGACGAGTGCTCGCTGCTCCCCTCTGGGCACTCACTGTGGACGTGACTTCATCTGAGCTCTACTTAAACTCTTCCAGGCCAGTGGCCTCGCAGCCTGAGACACACGGAGGAGGAGGAGGAGGAGGCTGGCAGAGCGGGCTGGTCCCCAGCTCTGCCTGAAACACCAGCCTGGCCTCACTAACTCTGTTGCCACATAAACAGAAAGAGTGTTTTGGGGAGTGTTTGCAGCCAGTCCTGACACACCGAGCTCCTGCTCCGCTCTTACATAACCAGGCTGCCACAGAGCAGCACCGGGCCTAAGCAGAGCTGTCATTCCCATTTACACCCATCACGTCCCCGCTTTCTTCCACCTCCCTCGGGCGTTTGGTATCCTCGCTGCGCTCATGACAAGAGGAACAACGCGCATAACTTTCTCTGAGGCACTGCGGGGACTCCACGGTGGAGCTAAATAAATCATTTTATTACCGCAAACACGAATCACTTGACAGTTATTAGTCTGAAGTGAAGCTGTGCTGCTGCAGGATCGACTGCTCGGAGCATTTAACACGCAGACTCCATTTAAAAGCTCTTTCTATAAAAGCATCATCATAAAGTACGCAAAACATATTCATGAGACGCCCCCTGATTCCCTTCGAGGCGCTGTTCAGCTCAGACGCGTATATATGATCAACACTGCTCTGTAAGGTTTCACAGACTCATGATTCAGTAATAAAGCGAGCCTGTTGTCCACATCTAT